ACCAATGTTTGAGTTTGCATGGTGCAAACAAAGCAGAAAAGGATACCGAATAAGGCAAAACAGAATTCCTGGGATGCTCGATCCTCTAGTTAAACCAGAGCCCTTGCCCTTTTTGCTTGTGGTCATGGGGTGTGTAAACACATTACAATGCAGTGTGATGCACGTATCGTATCACCCTCTAAATGAGCTGCTTTGCCTAAAGTGTCCACCAAAACCATATCACTTGTGGACCTTGAAGCAGTATGGTTGTATTGTTACAGCACACTCCTGGTTGGCATCCATCCAGGCTGCTTATAGCAGAACTTCATCAGCGAGAGCTCTGTACCCCCTCAGATGCTACCAGGACCTGACTTTGTGTTACTGTGCGATGCCATGGAGATAAATCAGCTTGTTCAAAGTTAGCACCTGTGTCTCTACTTTTATCTAGATACTTGTTTTAACTTGTTACTTGGTTCTTGTTTCTTTTCTAGATATTTTTAGAAGAGCAAAAATTCTTAAATGCTCAAGCATAACTTAAAAGTGTCACTGGGAAAATTGCAGTTAATCTACTGGAAGGAAGAGATAAAGCAAGGGTATTGCCAGTGTTTTGTAAACAGTGCACGTTTAAATGTCTTGTGAATCCATTTTTCTCAAGGGGTCAGGGTTTTTATTAGGTCTAGTCACAATAACAAAATAGCAGATTTCTAGGGGTAGCAGGCATCCAGAGAAATCAAGAAACTGTGATCTCAGAAATAAGGAAATAATTTCCTTGTAGAAACTTGTTAGAAACTTTTATTTCTAAAGCAATTATATAATTAGCTTTACAATGCAGTTGTAACCTTGTTTTTGCAAATGTATGTGCAAATGTATGGGATTAATTGTTCAGCAGCTCTCACAAAAAAAAAAATAGGAAAAATGAAATCAGCAAATTTGTGCAAAACCATGTTCCAAGATTTAAAAAAAAAAAAAAAGTACTTACCTGAAAATAAACAGGTGCCTGGGATGGTTTGCAGGGGTGTCCCTCTCATAATAGATCAATTTGTTTTCCTTATCTTCCAGTATTGTTGCAATGATTTATTTTGCCATTTTTATTTCTTTATGACTCCCTAATAGACAGCCTTGTTCCATTCATTATATGTTTTTGAGGAAAAAGGTGATGCAGTTCAATGACAGGCTGATTTAGATTGGGAAATAGCCCATTAGAAGTGCTGTAAAGCAAGAGGCACGATAATTTTACACCTAAGTATGTACCTGCAAATCTATGTATATTCATTCCCATCTAGGATTTATGTTTCTGGGCTTTTTATATTTATATGACCTAAGGAAGATTACCATACATTTATAGAAAAATATCAAGATAAATTATCAAGAGACATACTAACGCTGTGGCTTTGCTTTTTAGTTCCAGTGAGAAAACAAACATTCCTTTCCTGACAGTTCCACATTTTTCAGGTTTCGCAACTTCACAAGCCTTTTCTTACAGCTTTCTTCACAGGAAGTCTTCTCATCCTCTGCATCTTATAAGAAACCATTTGGTTCTACAGAAGGTCTCTCTCCTAATTTGTTGCAGCTAAATTCTTTCTCAGTCTGCTGGAACAGAGGACAGACTAGCCAGCTCTGTTGTTTTATTTTCATCTGCTTTATAATTCGTTCCATGAGACTGCTGCATTCCCAAATCTGACCCCAGACACTCCAGTTGCAATGTCCTCGCATCTTTGGCAATATCTTTCTACTCGCCCTTGGAATATTCTAACACTACAAATGATACCACATATCTGTGCCTACTAGGTACATAAAAATCAACGGTATTTAGCTGTGTTCCAATTTAGATAGCGAAATCCTTCTTTCCTGGGAGTGAAGACATCACAATCTTTCCCTGTGCCCAGGACACAAGTTAGCAGCTGGAATATTGGAGTCAGCATTTCATTCCATGAGAGTGAATAGCATCAGACCTCCAGAGATTTCTTAACTGACCTTCAAAACCCAAAGTCTAGCTTCCAGCAAACTTAAAGTAAACATACTTCTCTAGAGATTAAGATCAAAGCACAAGAAAAACATTCTACTTAACTACATGGTGCTCATACCATTACTTATTTATTGGAGCAAGGGTAAGTGGTGCTGTGGTGCTGGGGGAGATGAGATGCACTTTCTTCTCTTTTTTTCAGTTATCAAACAGTAAAAGTAGTTCACAAAGGTTACCCAGGTCTCTGCCAAGAGATTTGAAAAAATCATCATTCTTCTTCATACCATTGCTGCTTCATTCCCAAATAAGGTTTTTATATCATCATGGTCAAATCCTAAAGACTTTTTCTGAAACAAAGCCTTGGGTGACTTGAATGCTTTACTAGAGGAGCAGCTCAAGGACACCCCAAGCTTTGTTTCTAGTCTCAGGTGTGCTCTTTTAATGTTCTCAAGCAAACGCTGTCATCTGTAAAACAGGAGTAATAGCACTTTGTTCCTATATTCATCGAGGTTTTTAGGATAACTACATTACAAATTCAGAAGTTCTGAAGTACTACAATAGGAGGTCTTGTATGTGTATATAACTCGGGCTTCCTGGAACAGATCGGCTTCCTGGAAAGAAGAAGAAGAAAAAAAGTATAGAGTATACAGAGTTTTCAGTAACCTAAAAACCTATCACCATTCATTGGAATGAAAAAATAACAGATGTAACTGCAGATATCTGAAGCTATTTGTTGGTGAGCCTTGAACAACAGAAAACACTATGAGTAACAGATAAGCTCTTCATGTATTCCCTGATAGGATTTTCCTGTTGTCACTTTTGGGCTGAGACGAAACTGTTTTAGGAAGCTGTGTTAGCTCAGTGGGGAGGAAATCAGAAAGGTACTCTACTCAAGGTTATCCTTAGAGGCAGTTCATAACTCTAACTCTCACAAAAAAATAGAATGAAAATTCCTTTCAAACCCAGTTTCAGTCCTGCCCTATGACCATGAATATGGAGTCCAGTTAGCCACAAACACTCCTTGATTGTTTCCCTAGCCACCAATTTGTACTGCTTCCCCAGTACAAAAATTGAGCAAAACTTCACCTTGATTTTGTTGTTAACTATGTAGTGATTGTGCACTGAATTACTGCACTATGTCTGGTTTTTATATGTCATGTAAAAGTACAAGCTGATGGATATAATTTTCTCATATACTCCATTTGTTTCACATTCATATCTTAAGGAAATGAAAGCCCAGATTCAAGCCCTGTTGTGCTATTATTCCAAAGATATCACTTAAAACACATCTGTAATACTTTTAAGCAAGCTTGTTTCCCACTGATCTGAGTTACAGATTATTTTATTTCTTTACTGTCTTGGCTAACACAAAGATTCAGGGCAGTAAATCAATTCAACTGAAAAGATTTTCGATTTACAAGAAGAACAAGTTTTCCATAGCTTGTGCCAAATGAACAAATCATTACTTTTGGTCTGAGATAAGCACTATAGCCTCTCTCCCTGCCCTCCTTTCCCTATCTTACTACCAGTCCTCCAGGAATAGATTAATAAATGCCTGACCTTATGCATTGGTGCCAGTGGAGACCTGCAGTAATTGTTCTTTCTCACAGTTCAAACAATCATTTTGGATTACCTCTCATAAAGAAGAAACCCAGAAAAAGATGAAATGCCTTTTAAAAACTGAGCCACGTGTGTAAGACAGGCAGTGAGTATATAAAATTAACTATGAGGGAGTAATTCCAAATGGACTAGATGTAAGCTCTGTGATGGCAAGCGCTCCTTCAAATCTTGTTCTTCATATGCTTACCTTCCTTACTCTTAGGCTTTGCATCTGGTTAAGATAAACTAATTTGCACTGTTACTCAAAGTGCAACAACTTCAGCTGCCAAAAGTCACCGATATGTAAATATTTTAGGAGACCTTTCCTGATTCTTCTCAAATCCTCTAAATTTATTCTGTAACTGCAGCAACACTCAATAAGTTTCATGAAGAGTGCAATCCAATGAGTCCAGCAGATGTTTCTAGTTTTGCTTCACTGGGAACTTTCTGGATTCTTCTACCTTCATTCCCAGAAATCAAGACCCAATTTTAGCAAAGTGCTGATGAATCAACCAGCAACAAGAAGACTGAAATAAGTCTTCATCTCCGCAGTCCTTAAAACATTCAGCATTGCAGATCTGTTAGAGGCTGAGGTTTGGATGCTTATCCAAAACTCTTTAGCCTGGAAAGCTGAAGGATGGGAAACTCGTATAATTGTCTCTCAATAGATTTGTGGTATTTCCTGCACTTGTCTGGCACAGAAATATAATCTATCTCACAGTATTTTGGCACTGCCAACATGGAACCTAGCAATACAGAAATATGTAAGAAAAAATGATCTTTTCCAATAACAACAAAAAGAAACCTGCTTTGAGTTATGGTCTTATTTGGATTTTATTTAGTTTATTTCTCTTTATATTTTTCCTCTTTTGCTGTCCAGGGATATTTCTGTCACCTTACGTTGCCACCAGATGTTAGTAGCACAGCTGAGATTATGCAAGAACAAGCCATATAACTTGGAGTCCTTTGTCTTCCTCCTGTTCAGTTAGGTAGAGGCATGGCTATTTTGAAAAGAAAGGAATGAGCAGAAATACAAGAATGGCAAGAGAAAGCCAGGGACACGCTACAATGTGCTTGCCAAGTCTGTTTGGCCTTATATCTCCACAGCTAGTTTAATTTTTGAACTATAACTTCTATCTCCATTCCCTGATTTCTGGATTAACCATGCTTCACAATCCAGTACATAATGCTCATAATGTCAGTAGTTGCATGCAGAGAATATGAAGACAGCTTTATTTTCAGGTACCTGAAATGTAGGTAACACAATACACAGCGTATGTTGTTAAAGACTACCATTTTATTGTGGAACAGCCCAGCATCACAAATCCAGGACACTGCAGATGTCCAAGAAACACCTGTCCTAACTTTCACAGGTAAAGCAGCATGACCTGTTATTTGGGTCAGAAAACGGTCATCCACTGAATTACATGATTTTTCCGTCTTTCCAGACCACGTGGAGAACCCCATCAGAATGACCAGCAATCGCACAGACTGTCATTACTGCCTGCAGTCTCTTCGTGGGAGGAAGTATGCATTAAGGGAAGAAAACGCTTATTGTGTTACATGTTATGACAGCCTGTTTGCCAACTCCTGTGAAGAGTGCAAACAACCTATTGAGTGTGATTCCAAGGTAAAGATTAACTTTCACTTGTTGTTCTTCGCTAAATTACACACAAATCCCATTTCTTTAATGCCAGATTCTCTATCCAACCCTCTGCATATCCCTGTGCTGGTGAATAAACTTAAGCATAGCCGTTGTACATCCATGCACAGCAGAGAGAAACATTACTATTATCCCAGAGTAGGGAATTTCCAGGGCCAAGGATTAGGAAATCTGCATTTATGTACCCCTCAAACATACAGTGAGGCTATGGACCATAACTAGACTCCATGCCTCACCTCCAGTCACTCACTGGCTGCAGAGACATCACAGTGCCTTGAGGGACAGTGGGATACTGGTGTAATTCAGTAGATCATGTTGAATGAAACTTTGGAATTTTTGAGAGATGTCCACTGAACAAATATTTTGAGTATTGTATAATTACTTTTATTGTAGGTGTTGACATGCCAATGTCAAAATGAAAAGAAACCATGTTTATAATTTATATATTATTTCCTCTGTCTTTTGGAAATTAAGTATATTTTAATTTTAACTTAATTCCATGCTTACCTTCCTCATCTCACAAATGACATGTTAATGGCAGTGTTTCTGGTCTTGCCCTCCCTTTCACCTCTCCTCTTTTTTGGAATATTAGTTAATAATATGAGTTCTTCTGTGGTCTCTAACAGGGCTTACAGTACCCCATACTTCAATTTACAACCTGTACACTTGACTTTGAATTTTAAGTTCAGATGAAACTTATCAAAATGTCTTTGTTTTGCCAAGTTCAGTATGTAGTGCTCACCTTCTCCCCATGCTCACTTTGCCTACATTCATTTGAAATAAAAGGTCAGAAAGTTATTAAAATAAGCCTCTCAGGAGGCCTCCCTAGCCAAAGCACTTTATGGTTTTCCAGGCATATTGTCTTAATACAGCTCAGTACTGCAAAGGAATAATCCAAGGAAAATGCTGATTTGGATGGAGACACTTCTCATGCTCTCATCAGCATTTTTTAACAGTAAATTTGTATATGTAGCTTCAGTCAGAGTCACTCGGAGAACATGTTCTTTATGCTCACTAATTACATTTTTAAAATTTAAAATTAAGTAAGTGACAGGATCACAAATGTCAAATATCATTAACAAACGTCTTTGGACTGAGTGGAAGGAAAAAATGCGAGGAAAAAAGAGAGAGTAACAAGTGAAAGAGTGCTACTGGCCAGACTCAGCCAGGAGAGTGGCTCACAGAGATCTACAGCTGGTTGTCCTACCTCTGCCAAAGTGCTAGAACTTGGCTCTCTTTCTCTGCATTTTACCCAGTCTTTGCCTCAGGCTGCTCTGAGGTGATAGCTTGTTTTCTAGAAAGTTCAGAATTCTAACTAACACAAATTAAATTTCTAAGTGCTCAGAACCTCCTAAAATGAAGCATGGGACGTATTTTATTTTTAACACTTTGAAGGGTGGGATCTGGCAAAGGAGAAAAATGAGATTGGATTTTTGTACTTTTGTGCAAAGGAGATTTGGAAGGGACTGATTTATTTTTCTAAGGTGGGAAGGTTTTTCAGTGGTGCATTTTTCCCTTTTTTTTTAAACTTGAAAAAATAAAATCTGCTGTTTGTTCTTTTTTTGTATTCTTAGTGGAGGTCTCATACTTTACTGTTAGCTTTTACATGCCCTAAGCCTGCTGAGTCTTAAACAAACATTTTCCTGCCAAGTTTTTAGGAGGAATTATATTAGGTGTAAACAAAAGCAATGATGTTCTAATAATCTTCCTAAGAATCATTTTGTTCTCTATGAGATTTTAATTGCTTGTTTTCTGCAATAATATGATCTTTCTTTAGTGTTATGTGGTGTCAGCTGGAAGAAAAAGTAGTAACATTAAAAAATACTTGACGTTTATTTCAAAGTCTGTAGAGAATGCACATCTTGTCAGGTGGCCTGCGAACACTAAAATGTTGATCACTTGTTTTCCCCTTGAAGGCCAACTGTAAAATACAAAATGATTCTTCCAATAAAAACATATCTCTAATGTTACATAAGGAAGTACTGTTGCATGTGCCAAAGTAGCTCCTAATGGCCGCTGCAAGACATTAACAAAATATCCCAACACAGTGATGCTGAGTACTTACATCACCTCTGAGCCCACCTCTCGCCAGATGCACATGTCATCTCTCCAAGTCACCATTGCAATGCTCTCCATTTTTCACTTTATTTCTGGGAGAAATTGAGAGATGAAAACATTTTAAAGAAATGTCTTCATTAACATGGTCTTACTTTCTCCAAGGACCTGGCCTACAAAGGCCGCCACTGGCATGAGCAGTGCTTCAAGTGTGCCAAATGCAGTCGCTCGCTGGTGGAGAAACCATTTGCTGCCAAGGACGAGCTCTTACTGTGTACTGAATGCTACTCTGATGAGTATTCCTCTAAGTGTTTCCACTGCCAGAAGACCATTATGCCTGGTAAGACAACAGGGACACTTCGGTGAAAAATAGAACTTGTATTTTTAATTATAACCACATCCTTGAATAACTGAGCTATAACGTACTTGACTTTCAGAATAGCTTTGAAGTGACTGCCTCTTCTTTGTATGTAAGTACCCTCCCAGCTGTGAAGAGAGGGCAGGCAGATACCTCTGGTCTAGCACTAATAAGGCTTATAAATCCACATAAAAAATAGTGGTGTTTAAAATAGAGTAAAACGTCTTTGTGTTAAGTCTTTGATTCTGCTTGCAGC